GCTGAGCAACACCTGCGGCACAGGCTTGCTTGCCTTGGGGGGCTGCGTACAGCCGTCCAGTGAGCTGTAGTCTGATTTGGTAATTTATAAGTTACAAGGCCGGCCTTGCTCAAAATGCCCCGATTCCACACTAAATTCACGGTCATCCTTACATCCTTGGTGGAACTCGGGCCAATCGTCCAACAGAGGCGGCTGTTTCTAAATGCCCAGTGATGGGAGCGGCGTGGCTGCACAAAGTGTGTTCCAAAACCAGAAGCAAGCAGAGCTCAAAGAGCAGAACCAGCTCATTTCCTCCTGGTGAAGGCGGAGCTGCCAATCTCACAGGGATCCGTCTTTCTGTTTAGTTAGAGCTCCACTACTTCTATCTCACTTCAAAGAAAATAAAGGCTGGCAAGTAGATGGAATTATTTGTTCCTGTTTAAGAGGCTTCATTGGGGGCAGCAGTCCAACCATTTAAGAAGCGACGGGTGCTTTATTTTTCTTTTTAAAAGAAGGGTCTTCCAAAAAAAAAAAAAAAAGAAGAAGGGTCTTCCAGAAAACCAAAAGGATTTTCTAGCTGGTTAAATGCTGTTTTCAAACTTTTGCGAACAGATACACACAGATAAGCAAAAACAACGCAATAAATACTAAGCACTACGATACGGACACTGGCCCTACAAATAATTTTTTTTCGGGAATAAAATATAGGTAGACTCCAGTACAACTAGAAATGGTTTTGTTACTACAGTAGATCACCCAAAAAGTAATAAATAATAAATGATAAGAATTCTAGAAATTCAGGTTCACTGAATAAAAGCCTTCGCTGTACATGCATCCACTACAAACTGTAAGATTAAAGTTGTGTGTCCAAGGAGTGAGAGAAAGCAGACTATAAGTAGCACTCAACTATGGACAGGTGTGGACAAAACTAACAGGCCATAAGTAAAACGTAAAAAAAAAAAAATCTTGTTTTAGGTGATATACAATAAAGAATGACTCTATTTTTTCAAAAGTCACTGTTTGTTTGGCATCATCTGGCCAATTTCTCTACCTGTATCTACTGAAGGAGAAGAAAGAGATCCACTGTCCTCAACTTGGTTTCGACTTGCTTTTTACTTCTGGATCCACTTTTTTAGTACAGGCCCCTTTATTGGTTTTCATCACAAGGTGACAGTCTTTAGTACCTATTACAAAACATGTGCTTATTGAGGGACTTTTGGGACCTGAGATAATTTACCAAAAGACAGTTTGCTCACTAGGGGTTTTCGAGTGGGGGATTTCCTTACTCAGGTTTTTAAACATCTCTTAAGTGTTGGCTATTTTCTCCAACTGCCAGTTGTACCACAGTCATTGGCTCCCCCTCCCCCCAAGCACCCCAGCAGCATCGCCTTCCCTGCAGATGCTGAGGGTCCCACTATGGGGGTCCTTTAGAAGTAAATGACTCCTCTAGTGTCCCAAAGAGACTTGCATCCAAATCCTTGGTCTCCTTTGCCTCTCACTACTTTGCTTTCCCCCCCCTCTAAACTTAGGGCAAGAAATAAAATTTATTTTCTCTAGAATAAACTCTAATCCACCAGAGGAGACTTCCTTCTTCTCACTGGAGCCGATATGGTGGCTCTGATGGGCTCCTTGTATCAATCTCATTTCTGCCTCCCAATCTTGACATCATTCACGAGTTTGTGTCTTTCCATCCAGGTTGGTACTGTTTTAAATTACAGTTTCGTAAATTTGCTTCATTTTAAAAACTTTTCAACTCCTCTGCGATCTAAGTAATACCTACTTTAAAAAAATACTCATTTCATCTTTCTGAGGCTGGTTTAAGGAAAATGGTTAAATGATATAAATTAAACAACTGTTCTTTATTTTTTCCACTGAAAATCTTTCATATGATTCTTTATAAATACGTTAATTTTTTTTTCCCAAATGTCCTCTCCTTTCCCTTCAGCATAATTTTAGGACAAGTGTTCTAAGAAACGTAGAAGAAATTGGGCATCTAGTAACTTAACTGCCTGACCACAGACCTCAACAGTACATGACAAAACCTACCAGAGCCATGTGGTTAGAAAGAAAGAAAAAAAGAAAAGAAAAGAAAAGAAAGAAAAGAAGGTAGGAAGAGAGAAAGCACTGCCCACAGCTATTTCTCACACAAATTTCTAAATTACGTGATGCTTTTTCAAAAATCTCCGTTAGAAAATAAATTTATTATAAAAAAAAAATCTCCGTTAGACATTTGTAAATTGTTTGGGGATTTCAAACTGATTTCTTGTAGGTGCCGCGGATACAACAGCTAGAAACTAGAAGAGGGAAAACGAACTCCAGGAAGGTGGGAAGAAGAGAAGCACAGAGTAAGGGACAGGGGACAGCAACAGAGGCAGGAGGACCAGGCGGACAAGGTGGAAAGGGAAAATGAGGGAGCTCCGTCCCATCTACCCCCAGCCCCTCAACATGCTACCCATCTGCTTCTGGGTTCCATGTGATTGGCAGGCCCACCCCCATTTTATTAACCTTGCGACTATTAAGTGCAAAGGTGCAAAAGCCAGTGTTTGCTGGACATACACGAGATGACATGACAGAGTGGAAACTTCTTTAATAATAATAGGGGTGAGGGGATCCCTGGGTGGCTCAGCGGTTTAGCGCCTGCCTTGGCCCAGGGCGTGATCCTGGAGTCCGGGGATCGAGTTCCACATCCGGCTTCCTGCATGGAGCCTGTTTCTGCCTCTGCCTATGTCTCTGCTTCTTTCTCTCTCTGTGTCTTTCATGAATAAATAAATAAAATCTTAAATAATAATAATAATAATAATAATAATAATAATAATAATAGGGGTGAGCTACTGGACACGTGGTGGGTGCGAGGAAGGATTCTGTGTAACTACACATAAGGGTCACGTCAGGGGGGCAAAATGGAGCATAGTTTACAAAATGTAGACAGTGATTATCTAAATGATAGGGTTGTGTCAGATTTTTTTCAGGAGAAAGAATTATTTGTCTGCCTTTATAAATGTCATCTAATAAAACTTAAATTTCTTCAGCTCCTAGGCCATTTATTATGTAATCATAAATAAACACATATTACAGATACCATCATATTCAGTACATACAAAGTGTCCCTGGTGTTTTAAATACAGGCCTAGCAGAAAAGTTAAACAAGTGTAGCTCCCTCTGGGCTTTGATAATTCTGCTACACTTACCATATTGCTGTCCCCAGAGCTGAGATTTTTCAAAGTAACCAACACTGTAGTACCGTGGGGGTTAAGCACAGGAAGTAACGAGTGAGTCTGCGCTGTACAAATAGCTCAGTTTTGAATCTTGAGATTTCTCTCAGGGTTTCAAAAGGGACCCAAATATTGCATATGACTCCCAAAAGAGCCCGCCAGTTTTTCTTTTTTCCCCAATCCTTTTTTTTTTCAAATATTTTATTTATTTATTCATTAAAGACACACAGAGAGAGGGAGAGGTAGAGACACAGGCAGAGGGAGAAGCAGGCTCCATGCAGGGAGCCCGGTGTGGAACTCGATCCCGGGGCTCCAGGATCATGCCCTGGGCCAAAGGCAGGCGCTAAACCACTGAGCCACTCTTTTTTTCCCCAATCCTAAGACCGTTCCAGGCATCACCATCTCTTTCCTTTCAGCCTTGGGCGCAGGCTGGTGCACTTGGGAAACGGGTCTAAATCAACCCCAGCGCTGCCCCTCCCGGCAGCTGTGTGATCTCCGCTGAACCCTGGGCTCTCCGGCCTCCATTTCCGCCCCTGGAAGATGGAGATGAAGCCCCTCCCCCTCCCCAGGGGGCTTTGACACTGGCCTCAGGTGGCACCTGTGCACCGTCCTGCACCCTGCTGGGAACTTGGGTCGGTCCCAATAAAGTGAGAACCCACGATGCTCAGGGGCCTCTGCACCCCCAGGAGGGGGTCTGGGGCCCCGGGGGGCTCAGGGGTGGAGCATCTGCCTTGGGCCCAGGTCGTGACCCAGTCCAATGTCAGGTCCCCGCAGGGAGCCTGCTTCTCCCTCTGCCTGGGTCCCCGCCTCTGTGTGTGTCTCGCATGTATAAATAAAATCTTTTTTAAAAAAATGAACCAGGGATCCCTGGGTGGCGCAGCGGTTTGGCGCCTGCCTTTGGCCCAGGGCGCGATCCTGGAGACCCGGGATCGAATCCCACGTCGGGCTCCCTGCATGGAACCTGCTTCTCCCTCTGCCTGTGTCTCTGCCTCTCTCTCTCTCTCTCTCTGTGACTATCATAAATTAAAAAAAAAAAAGATTCAAAAAAATGAACCAAGTGTCTTTCACGGGCCACCGAGAGGCAGTCGTGGCCAGGGGCTCTCGGGGGTGGCGGAGGCCCAGCTTTCCGGCCGGAGCAGAAGCCACCGTGGGCCGCGGCGGAAAGGACGAGGGGAAGGCTGCGGAGGGAGAGGACGGACAGAGGGGACGCCCCGACCTGAGAGCGGCTCACAGGCTGCGGGAGCAGGATTCCCGGAAGGGAAACAAAAGCAGTTTCTTTTTCTGCGCGGTGATAGGAAGGTAAACAGGCCTCCAAGGCGCCTTCGGCCCCAGAATAACTTTGCCCAGAAAAGTCAGGTCTGGAGCTTCAAGTTTCCCCGCTGCCCCCGGGGGCGCTTTCTTCCTTAAAACTTTGAACTCTTGGGAAACGTGAGCCCGCGGCCGTCGGTGCCCTCCCCGGGCTCCGTCCCCCTCCCCGGAGTCGATCCCCTCCCCAGAGTCGATTCCCCCTCCCCGGGCTCGCCCCCTCCCCGGAGTCGATCCCCTCCCCGGAGTCGATCCCCTCCCCGGACTCGATTCCCCCTCCCCGGGCTCGCCCCCCTCCCCGGAGTCGATCCCCTCCCCGGACTCGATCCCCTCCCCGGGACTCGATCCCTCCCGGCGCGCACACCCACCCGACCCGAACCCGCGCGCGGCGGGACTCAGCGCACCTAGAGAACACCCGGGCCGCCGGTTCCAGCCAAGCGCAGCCGCCCCCGGGGCAGGAGACCGAGCAGCCCGCGCCCCCCGCGCCCGCGGGAGCCCACTCACCAGACAGCGGACGGCCCAGGCCCCCCACATGGTCCCGGGCGCTCCCGCCCGACCGCCGCAGCCTCGGCGCCCGCCTTAGCCCCGGTCCCCGCCGCCCGCAGGAGGGACCGCCACGTGGCTCCGCCCCGCCCGCCCGGCCCGCCCCTTTCCCGCCCGAGCCCCGCCCATTTCTCCGCTCGCGCCCCGCCCCTTTCCCCGCGCCGAGCCCCTTCCCGAGCGCAAGCCCCGCCCCCGCCCGAGCCCCGCCCCAGCCCGCCCCGCCCGTCCCGGAAGTCCCGAGCACAAGAGCGGGCGGGGCCGCGGGCGGGGGGAAGCCCGGGGGGGGGGGGGAGGGGAGGGAGGGGGCGGGCGTTCCCTGCGCGGAGCGTTTCCGCAGCTGCTGGCGGGCGACGGGTCCAGGTGCGGCCCCCGAGGCCTTGCGCGCCGAGTCCAGGCGGCTCCCAGTGCCCGCGGGCGCTCAGCTGGGTCCCGGCCTCCCGGGCCCGGGGCAGGACGCCGGGGCCGCGGGCTCCAGGAGCTGCCGGTGCTCAGGTCTTGGCCAACCTCCTTTATGACAAGGTTGTGAGGGTTGAGCGCTTGGGGTAAGGCAGCTCGAAGTCACCGCTGGTTTGGGAAAACAGCTCACGTAGTTTTGCAAGAATTTCACCGAAGGGAAGTCTGTGCAGTGACACGGGGGATTCCGAAAGTAGGGCGCAGGCAGGAGGGGAAGGTCTCGGGCGCTTAGGGCCGCGCCCGGGTCAAGGTCAAGGCCAGACCCTCTTGTCCCCCTCCTGGTCCACAGGGTTCGCAGAGCCCTCCCCCTGGCCCACTCTCTGCTCTCGGGGCCTCTGCCTTGGTGACATTTTGGTGACCCAAGGCCTGGGCCAGGGGACCCCTGCACCCTCCGTCCCCTTAGGGCTTGCCCTGCACAGGGGGCCCAGACCTGCAGGTGGGACCCGCTTGCCTCTGCCGCAGCTTCCACTGCACCGTCTCCGAGGACCCCCCCCCCCGACCCCAGGACCCCGGTGGGCCACTGTCGGGCACAGAATAGACACAGAAGAAGCAAACGGGGAGCGGGTGGGAGGTGGCACGCAGGGACTCCAATGATCTTCACAACCTTCCTGCACATACAAAACATCCTCAAATACAAAGTTCATGGAAATAGAAAAATACCATAGGAGGGAGAGAGGGAAAGAGGAAGCAGAGAGGGGACGACTGACAAAACCAGGCTTCCTGGGTGTTAATTATGACGCAGCAACTTTCACAAACCTTTCTTCCTTACTCGATATTTATCATTTTAGTCCCAGGGAGGAGGGTGCTGATTAAACTGACTTTTCAAGTAAAGAACTGAAGCCAAAAACGTGTCAGCGCCGTTGGCAAAGTTGGTTAGTTAATCGGTAGCAGAGCCAGGAGTTAAACTTCAGTATTTTTGCTCCCGGGCCCTGGTCTTTCTATCCCTCCCCCCGCCCCCCAACACACATAGTGACCCTCAGGTTCAATGAGATAGTAACAGGTGCTTTGAGGGGAGACACGTGTTTCGTGGTGAAATGATCTTAGAATACTCTAGATCTAAAAAATTTAAACAGGGGATCCCTGGGTGGTGCAGCGGTTTGGCCCAGGGCGCGATCCTGGAGACCCGGGATTGAGTCCCACGTCGGGCTCCTGGTGCATGGAGCCTGCTTCTCCCTCTGCCTGTGTCTCTGTCTCTCTGTCTCTCAGGAATAAATAAATAAAATCTTTAAAAAAAAAATTTAAACAGGCCTCGTATCCAAGACCTCTCAGAACCTTACTATGCTAGTGTGTACTGTCTAAGGGGGAGGGGGTGATATAAACTGTTGCCCACACTTGTTTGTCTTTTTTATGGGGTCCCATCGAGAACACCTGCTGAATGAACACCTCATGAACCCTGATGTTCTAGGAAAAAAAGAGTTTGGAAATGTCTAAAAGCTATTCTTATTTTAACAACACATTCCTAAGGGCCTCCAAGCCCTCAAGGGCAAAAAAAAAAAAAAGCAATTTTAATAATAGAACTTCAGGCAGTCTACCAGACGTGGGAGATATTTTGGACAATCGTCATGGTTTTGCTCAAACCACGCCATATATGTCGAGGCGTTTCTCTTCTAAAGTCGGCCCTGCTGCTCAGCATCTCATTTGGAACAATGTTTAAACACACATCTGACTATAGAAAAGGTTGGGGGGGGGGAGAAACTTCAAAATACCTTTTCACCACCAAAACTACTTGTATTCTTTCTCCCCGTGGACAGTTTTAAAAACTGTTGTCAACCAAAGTGCTCTTACTAAATAGCAAAAGTAGGCTTTAATAATTCCCACCTAGAGCGAGCATCCCTGATTCTTTTTTGTTTTTTAAGATTTTATTTATTTATTCATGATAGACCTAGAGAGAGATTGAGAGACAGAGAGAGAGAGAGAGAGAGAGAGAGGCGGAGACACAGGCAGAGGGAGAAGTAGGCTCCATGTAGGGAACCCGATGTGGGACTCGATCCCGGGACTCCAGGGTCACGCCCTGGGCCGAAGGCAGGTGCTCAACCGCTGGGCCCCCCAGGAATCCCCCCTGATTCTTTATCCTACGCGTTTTCTCCCACTTCCCAGTAACAGCACTTCCAAGTTGCCCTTAGAAAACTTGCCGCTCCCCGTTGTTTTGGACTCTTTGATGTGGTGACTGTATTAGTCAGAGTTCTCAAGAAAAACAGAACCAACCGGAGATAGCGGTCTCTCTGGCGAGAGAGAGCTGTAGTTTGAGGAACTGGTTTCTGTACCTATAAAGCCTGGCAAATCCAAACTCTGCAAGCTACGCTGGCGGGTTGGGCCCAGGGGAGAGAGGCAGAGGTCCCCCTCTCTCGGGGCAAGATCTTCAACGGATTGGGTGAGGCCCACCCATGTGGTGGAGAGCACGGCTTGACTCACAGTCTGTGGATTTTAGTCTCACTCGCACCTAAAGTACCTTCGCAGAAATATCTAGAAAGACACCAAGTGGCAGGGTACTGTAGCCTCTGCAGGTTGGTGCATAAAATCCACCCTCGCGGGACGTGCATCCGTGAAGGTCCGGGAGGGAGCGGGCGGGAACAACGACTGATTGGGGCAGGAGCCCCTCGCATTCTGCTGGCGTGAACCTTGGGAACTTTGTGGGGAACGGTGGGACGCAAACACCTTTTCCTCTCCCCTGAATGTGATGTGGGAAAGAGTATGCGGGGTGCGGACCCATGGGGGTGCTGTGCGAGCTTGTGGACCCGCCATCGTCCAAGGCACGGCCACCGCGGGCCGAGCAGGAACCCGCCGCCAGGTAGAGCCTGCGAGTGTCACCTGAGTCCTGGCTAACCGGGCCCGGGTATGGGGCCGTGGAGCGTCCAGATGCCCAGGGTCACCTGAGTCCTGGCTGACCGGGCCCGGGGATGGGGCCGTGGAGTGTCCGGATGCCCACTGGGTGCACTCCCACTGGCCGCCTTTTGCCAGCGCTTAGGGTCAGCAGAAGTCGCCTGGTGCCAAGGTCACCTGTGGCAGGGTGACTCACGCCCGCAGGTGCCAGGAGGATGAGGCCTGCGGGGTGGCCGGAGGGCTGGGCCCTGGGGACCCAAAGGGCCGCCGAGCTCCACCCACCAGCGGGGGACAGATGGGACGTGCCATTTGTGCCCCATAGGGACAATGATGAGTGTGCACCTGTGAACTGCCACCCGGCCAGTTCCTCTCCCGGGAGCACATGACGTCTCCCAGGGTCAAAGAACGGCAGGTGCGCGGCCCCTGGAGGCCCCACGGGCCCTGGCCCCACTGCTGCACTGCCCGTCCTCTGCGAGGTGCCAGGGGGTGTGTGGGGGGGGAGAGTGGGGTCAGCGAGGAGGCCAGGCCAGGACTGAGTCCTCCGTGTGTGGCCTGACACTGGACCTCTCTTGGCCCCCGTGTCACACGATTTTCCGGGGAATCGGTCTTGTGTTTCCTGACTTCATTTCACGTTCACAATTTGCAGACGGTCCACGCCAGACCCTGTGAGGCACCGATGCCTTTTATGGGCAATGCTGTAGGTGGGCCCTGCATCAGTAAACCAGCATCAGTGCCTTTCGCCTCCAGAACTTTCTCAGGGACAAGAGAAAGCAGCACTGCCTGCGGCCTAGCAGCGTGGCTTCCCCACAGCGAAGATGATACTCTCAGCTTTTTTTCCAGGAAAGAACTAGAAAGGGATCAAGGGATCAGACTCTGTTCCCGTGATGCTCTGTGTTGAGCCCCGTTTGATGGCTCCTCTGCTTTTGGACAAATCGCAATAAGCTTGTGGGATCGTAAAGAGTGGGAGGGCCCGACGGCGTGTGGACCAAGGGGACAATGGAGCCCAGAGAGCTGCGTGCGCGGTGGAGGGAGGCCTGGCGCGGAGGATGTGGCCGCATCTGCCTTTGGAAGCAATTCCCGTGCGTTACAGCCACGCAGAAACCTGTGCAGACCCCGAAGTGGGTTGGTGGAAACCGAGGGGGACGCTGAGCCTTGAGGCTTCTGTGGGGAGCTCAGCTGGCTGCCGTCCAGATGCCAAGGCGAGGCTCTTCCTGGCTGTGAGTGTGGGCAGTTCTGGGCCCCTGCGACAGCCCCAGGACGTCGGGGGGAGAACCCGGGCTGCAGCGGCCCCCTGGGTCAGCCCGGCCTGCCGGGGAGCCGCCTCCTCCGGGCCCCCCGCCGGGCTCAGTCCACGCGGGGACACTGTCCGGTGGTTAGAAGTTCTCCGCTCCACGACACGCTCTTGTAGTTTGCGTGTACGCTCAGAAGCTTCACCCGGAGAGCACTGCTCAGGGTCGGGGCGAAGGAGCCCCTGGAGAGGCCGGAAAGGCGGGTGGTAGGAACCAGCTTGGACTCAGGCTGGAGGAGTCGTCGGGCCACCGAAACCTCCCCCCAGCCCTTCGCAAACCTGCGTCCTGAGATTGTTTCGTCATCCGGGCCACGAGGAGAGCCGGTCAGCCTGACGCCCCGACATCGGGCCTGGGGCCTCTGCGGGGCGTGTATCCCGGCTTTGAGCTCCCCTTGGAATCCTCAGGTCATCGCAGGGGGGTGAGGGGGAGGTTATCGACATTCTTTCAAGTGCTTCTTTAGGTTTACTTGTCCTTACGCCAGGAAAATG